TGTATATTTTTACATGGAAAACTACAGTATTAATGTAAATTCACTTTTTCAGGAAGAACAAAAATCAATGCATACTCATAAAATAGTAAAATATTTTACTGAAAGTATTCTTTTTGGGAAAAAAGATTCATGAAGTCTTTATATGCTGCCTCCATCACTCAAATTTCAGAAATTTTAACATTTTCCAAGTGCCCAAGACCTGTACCAAGGACACATTTTATTACAGAGATTATACAAGTTGATTTTTGTTTGAACATTGAAAAGAATTTAATGTTAACATTTTTCTGCTTTTAAAATTTTAAAATCTTAAAACTTTATGTATCAAGATGCTATTTCCATTTTACTACAAAATTGTTTATAAAATTCATTCCTTGAAAAATTTGGATCCTTTTTAAATACTAATCTCAGCATTTGTACCGTTACTTTTTAATATATTTCTCCCCCCCCCCCGACCCCGCCTTTTTTTTTCTTTTTTGGTGCCGGGGATCAAACTCTGGTCTTTGCGCTTGCAGAATCACTGAGCTAAATCCCCGGCCCTTACTTTTTAATATATTAAAAACATAAAAAGGAAAAAAATAAATTAACACAGGATATCACATAGCAAGCTAAATGGGTAACTACTGTCTTCATAATTTTACGTAGGTCATTAAAAACCAATAGTTCTGCTTCTGAGAATGTCTCACATATTGGTGAGAAATTATTTTGTTATAGAAAGCCGAGAAATGCAGTATAATGTTTTATAGTGATCAGAAAATAAATAAAAAGTTTATACAATGCTCCATTTCTATAACAAATCTAATGATTGCCTTCCTATGCCAGAGAGTAATAGCAACTGAAAAATTGGAGTAAGTTAGGGTGAGAAGTTAAGGTAAGTGCCTAATAATTCTAGCTATCATTTGACAATAGACAACATGCTATTTATATTGCATCTTGACTCCTCAGAGCATCTCCATAAAAGGAAATGGCATTCTCATTTTATGAACAAGGAAACTGAGTTTAAGAGATATGAAGTAGTTTTTCCTGGGTTATGCCTAAGTGGTGAAATTAGAATTTGAATATGTCACTGATTCCAAAGCTACGTTCTTTCCAATAATTATACAGTTTCTTCTTCTTCTTCTTCTTTTTTTTTTTCTTTTGGTACCAGGGATCGAACTTGAGTCCTTGCACTTGCGCAGCAGGCAGCGAAACCACTGAGCTAAATTCCCGGCCCTATACAGTTTCTTCTTTATTGTGACTCACAATTTCAATTTGAGATTAAACGAAGTATAATAGTAGATGAAAGGTGGAATATATTTCTATTTGGTTAGGACAAGGAAACTGGTGCTTTTTTTTTTTTTTCAAGAGTTCTGTCCTTGTCTTCTTGTAGTTTGTTTTTATTTTTATTTTTCTCTCTCTCTCTTTCTCTCTTCATTGTGTTTGTTGTCAGGTCCAGGTGGAAAAGTTCTTAATCTGTATCTCTAGCTTTGACTCATATTCTAAGCCATAGGTCCACATTTCCCCTTTCACGCCTTACTGTGACCTCAGCTGTGACATGTTCAAAGTTAAACATCATTTTCTGCTCCACGCTGACTCCTTCTAATTTCATTCTCTTTGTTATTTAATTGAAAATTTGGGGACATCTTTGAATACTTTGAAAAACTAGTGATTGTACTTGATGTATCATATCATTTCCAGCTGAAAATTCTACTGTTGTGACTTTGTACCATTTACTCAGTCAAAAAAGAGTTGTTTTTTCTGCTGTGGACCTACACAAATTATTTTCTAGGGTTTCAATATTTAATAAAGTATAAATAATATCCTATTCATCCATGCTTATCCATTTTTCAAAGCCTATATTATTTGTTTTGACATGGAGTCTCACTATGTTGCCTAGACTGGTCTCAAACCCTGAGCTGAAGAGAATGTCTTGCCTTAGCCTCCTGAGTAGCTGGGACTACAGGTGTGCACCTGGCATCAAACTCCACTGTAAATGTCATCTCTTTCTTAAATCCCACATTGCCTCCCAGCTGGACTTCATAATAATTGCTCTCTTTCACAATCCCATAACACTTTTGTACCTTTCTCAGGGCATTTTACAGTAGCCTACATACCTCATATGTGTAAATATAACATTGGTACCCATATTATATTCTTTAGAGTAGCCTATAAACACATACTGTAATATAAACACACATACAAACACATAAATACTATATGCACATATATAGGCATACATATACACACATATATTATGTATGCATATATTTATGTATATGCAATGTGTATGTAGAGTACTGTAAAGATCAGTATATAACTATATTTGATGCATAACTAGTTTAAATAGTATGTATTTATAAAGTGCTTTAATGACTGACTATACAAATATATATATATATATGAATAAAGAGACTGCCAAGGGGGATGAGTGGCAAGGGACATTGGAGACTGAGCAGGATGGAAAGGGATTATATGCTGGGCATGAGCACAGGAAGTGGGACCAGGGGTAAGGAAAGGGAATGGGGGTGGGGCTTGAGGTGACTGACTTGGGGATTTCAGAACCATCCTCCAGTGGAACAGAGGGCAACTACAGGTATTGTTTACAGGTAGAGGTTGCTCAAATAAGTAAACATCTTTTTTTTTTTTTTTTTGAGACAGGATCTCACTATGTGGTTTAGGCTGACCTTAAACTTACTATGCTGCCCACGCTGACCTCCAACTCACAGCAATCCTTCAGCCTCAGCCTCCCAAGTCCTGGGACTACAAGCGTATGCAACCATGCCTGGCTAAGAAAACATTTGAAGGATATTAGGAACCAGGTTACTCCACAGGAGAGAAGACCTACAAATGTGGAAGGACTGAAACTAGAATGAACCATGTGATGCTGGATTATAGGTATTAGTGAGAAAATATGGATTTTCAATACAGATTATTAAAAAACAGAACTGTAAATATGTGTGTTGAGTATACATATATAGATCTGTATGAGTAGGAATCTATAAATATTCCCAAGCTGCATGCATTGAGGCAGCTTGGCTGTAACATCTCAATAGCAGTGAGCAAACCTAGTACTCTACATTCTCGACTAAAAATAACCGGACTTCTGGAGAAGTGGCTGCATCTAGGCTGGGGCAAGATGAGCCTGTAGTATCTTGTTCAGCGAAAAAACAAGGGAATGCTCAAAGAATGACGTTTAAAGATGTCTAAAGGGCTCAGAATAGTAAAATGTTAATGTAGAATCTCAATGATGGGTATATGGTATATAATACTTTTTTTTTTTTTTTTTTGGTACTGGGGATCGAATTCGGGTCCTTGCGCTTGTGCAGCAGGCAGCGAAACCACTGAGCTAAATTTTTCCATATTTTTAAAATGTTTTACAATAAAATGTTGGGAAAGAATTTAAACACACACATGCAGAGAAGCCAGAATGAATGAATCTCCTATTGACCAAATTTAAAACAACTTGAGCATCAAAATGTATAATGATAGAGGGCCGGGGATTTAGCTCAGTGTCACCTGCCTCACAAGCACAAGGACCTGAGTTCGATCCCCGGTACCAAAAAAATAATAATAAAATAATAATGATAAAAACATATTATAATCTATTTGATGAAATAGGAAACTCTGAATATATACTGATACAAATATGTTAATTGTAAGTTTGATGAGAAACAAGATTATTTACAAAATACCTTGAAACAAGGTAGCTTCAAAGAATCTCCCTGGCCCCAAACACACATTCATTATAAAGGTTTAGAAAGTAACTTGACGGTGGAAAAGCCTGGCAGGCACCACCTTATTAAGATAAACATCAATTATGAGAGAAATTAAATTGTGCCACCTGATAGGATGTGATGAAAAGAACACCCTATCACTTCTGTGAGAGTCCTAGCAAAGATATCTATCCTAAATCTAATAGGAGTGAATATCAAGACAGACCCCAAGTGCAGGCCATTCTGTAAGAATAATTGGCCAAGGCCAGGCGTAGTGGCACACACACACGTAATTCCAGCACTTTGGGAGGCTGAGGCAGGAGGATTGTAGGTTTGAGCAGGATTCTCCAAACTGTCAAGGACATAAAATTCAAACAAAGACTGAAAAGTGTTCCAGATTGAAGTCAATTAAAGATAGGTGGCAAATAAAACGCTTGATTCAGAATTGAATTTTTTTTTTACCATAAAGAACATTATCGTGACAACTGACAAAACATAATGTATCAGATAAATAATTTTATTCTGATTATGATTCTGATTATTGTGATTATATAAAAGGTGCTTAGGGACCGTGTGGCTTGGTAACAACAACTTAAATCTCAAAGGGTTCAGGAAACAAATGTTCTTTGTACTGTATTTGCAACGTTTGTGTGACCTCGAGATTGTTTCAAAATAAAAACTGAAAAGTGGGAAAACGGACATGACTCAGGGCCTAGAGGTTGTTAGTCCCAGTTTGGCCATCCACTCAGTGTGTGACCTTGGGCAAGTCATTTTACTTCAGTCCCCAGAGTCAAGCCTCTGTAGGGTCCATTCCACGCGGAACATTTCACCATGTAAACCCACAGCACTGGTCCGGCCTGAATTTCTCCAGGCTCCAGCTGTGTCCTTGCCTTCAGATGCCCTAGTGTTGTACCCACGGATTCTGGCTGGCTATACAAACAGCCAAAAATAGTTGTGGCCGGAATCTCCGGACTGCAAAGCCACTGTCCTAGACTCAACTTGGGCCTCAGGCGCCTCCATCGTTCTTTCGGTGGTGGAGCAGTCACGCCTGCCACAGTGGGCGCTCGATGGCTCGACGGCCGGCTGTCGGGGCTTCGGACCTGCGGCGCGGCCCTGGGCGCGCTCCCTATCGCCAGCCGCCTCCGCTCCCCAAGGAGAGCTTTCCGGCCCCGCCCCACCCGCCCCTCCCGCCTGCCTCGCAGCCTCGCAGTCGCCGCCGCCCGCGAGACCAAGTGCTGACCTCCTTTGCGGAGGAACCTGTAACGTGGCGGGACCCACTCAGGTACTGAGTCTAGAGAGATCCCTGAAGGCAAGCTGTCGGGGATCCTGGGACAGGGGACGCGAGGGGGCGGTGTCGCCCTGCCAGCCTTGAGGGACAGCGCACCGGGTCCTCACGGTTTCAGGAGCAGCTCTGGGGTCCCGGTGTGGTCGCGGCAGCAGTGTGTCGCTGAGGACGCCGGGACTCCGCTTTCGGGGACTGGTGGAGGGGTTTGGTGTCGTGGCCCACGGAGCCAGAGCCGGCTTCAGGGGTGCTGACGAGGGCACGGGGCCGGCCGGTGGCCGGTGCGAGCCGTACTTCCCGCGGGCTCTGAGAAAGTCTGGCTTCCCCCAGCACAACAGGTAGGCGTGGACCGAGTGCAGCCGGGACGCTGGCCGGGCGTGTGGGGAGGGTCGGGAGGTCGCAGCTCGCCGCGCCCGCGCTGCTCCCCGGACCTCCCCGCGGCGCAGTCAGCCCTCCTGGGCTTCTGGGGACATTCCTGCAGGCCGTCCTGAGACGAATTTCCAGAAGGAGCGGTGCAGAGGGGGTAAATACTGCCTTCCGTGTGGAGTACTATTTCCAGTCTCCTCTCAGGGAACCAAAGGCCTTGCTGGTTGTGGCATTTGCTTAGTATAAGAAAACATTTCTTTTGCTCTACTGCCAGCCAGCACAACGTCGTTTCAAGTGATTTATACATCTTTGGAAAGACCATAAAGCGCTTTGTGGTACTTATTAATCACAATAATGCATACGTCTGGCAAGTTAAGATAATTTGAACTGTCAAGTCAGATAAAAGTCAGATGGTCTGAGCGCCTTCCTTAAAGGCCATAATTATATGTTGTTATATGGATTCATTTATTCAACAAATATTTAGCACTTTTTATGTGCATACATGGTTCCCTTACGGAACTTACAGCCTGAAGGAGTCGTTAAAAGTTTAAGGAAGAAAAAAAGGGACCTACAAGTTCAGTCAAGAACTTTGAAAAAAAATACCTTCTGGGAGATTATCGAAGGTTAGGGAAAGCAGAAGTGTCATCAGAATTGGGCATTAGAAGACTTGGGTGAGGAAAATTGTTTCATTTTCCAAACCTTTTAAAAAGTATGTCTTTGAGAAATTGATTTTATTTAAACGTTTTTAAACTATGGACTTTTTTTCTTTAATAAAATGGATAAGAATGGTGACAGTTGGCGAATACTGGAGGTTGGATTTGTAGTTCTTTAGGATGCACCTATTTACTTAAAAAGGAAATAAAATAGGAAAAGACCCCTGGACATAGGAAGACCAGAATTCTAGCTTAAGCTTTTTTACTACTATTTGTAGATCTTAGAGTAAGTCGCTTTTCCTTTTTCTTTGCTCATTATTTTACTTTAGTGACACAAAAATATATACTTCCAAAATACCTTTTAAATTTTTAACCAAAACTAACTACATGAAATTAATAAATATATTCTGTACAGAAAAATTATTTCTTTACTTGTCTTTACCCAGTGCACTTTTTTTTTCCTTCTTTCCAAATTTATTTCAAAAAAGGGATTGAAGTACCTTAATTATGAATAAAATAAGAGGTTAAAGTCTAAATTTTTTTTAATTATAAAATTCTTTTATTCCAATGGTATATTCATTTTTTTAAAAAAATATTGAGTCTTGTGTTTATTAATTATCTCACAGAATTGGAGAGTTTAAACAATTCTTTAATGGGACCATAGTTCCCTTAAAAAAAAAAAAAAGCACTTCTCCATTTTAAGGAGATGTGGAGAAATTGTTATAGGTTTCACTTAAGAAGTGATTTTACAGGGGCCCAAGGAATTAGTAATAACTCCTAGTTTTTTCATTGAATCCATTATCTAGTTCTAGTGTGAAGTGTTTTTTTTTTTAATTTTTTTGGTAGCGGGGATCGAACTCAGGACCTTGTACTTACGAGGCAGGGATGGGCCACTAAGCTAAATCTCTGGCCTTCTAGTGAGAAGTGCTGATTAAAACAGAAGTTAACCATCTACAGCCTGTGGATCAAATCCATCCTGCTGGCAGTTTTTGTAGACAGTTTTACTGGGACACCGCAAGGCTCGTTTGGTTATGTTTTGTTTATGGCTGTTTATATATTGTTTATGAATAGTTGTGATAGAGCTGTATTCCCTACAAAACCTAAAGTACTCTTTGATCCTTCATTGAAAAAAGTGGTGGATCCCTCAACTAGAACTCTAAATGCTTAATCATGAAATCCTTTGTAGGAGGAAATAGGTTAAATTCTATTTTAATTCTTTTTTTGTTTTGTTTGAGACAAGATCTAGCTGTATATTTTAGGCTGGCCTTGAACTCACTGTGTAGTACTACTGCCTTAGCCTCCTGTGTGCTGGGATTACAGGCATGTGCCACTGGGCATCTATTTTAATTCTATTAGATAATGCAGGATCCATAAATGCTGCTTCTTCCTAGATGTGTAATGCTAGAATAGGGGTGTGGCTTTTTTCCTGCATTTTGCTGGTATAAAATTTTCTCATTTCAGCAACTCTGGTCTTTTGGAAGGGTAGAAAAGGGGACCGATCTTTATGTTTACTCTTAGCTACCTTCTGATTCATAGTTTTAATGTAGATACAGTGTGGAAGAACAATTTTTGTCATTGCTTAGTAGACTTTACCATTCAGATGTTTATCATAAGCAAAACTACTTTGTTTTCAAAACTTTTTAACCTGAATCTAGTGACAGCATGGGTTACAAGATCAGATAGAATATTACTGAAAGTATAAATATAAACATGAAGTCAAACATGTATCTATAGTAAGACTCAAATAAGAAATTAGAATTCTGAGCAAATAAGCAGCAAATTAAAATTGTACCATGTATATACCATCAATCTTGGACTTTAAAAGAAATCATAACAACTTAAAAGGTTTTTAGAGAAGATATGTAATAGGCAATATTAAAGCACTATATTATCTGCCTAAGAAATTAGAGCTGGTTGTGTGATACAAAAGAAAAACTTGGGAGAGGTGATAATATTTAAAGCTGTATATATACTTTTCTATTAAAATAATATTGTGCCAGTTTTACTAAAAATATTTTGTGTATGTTTTCCAGTATTTCCCAAGTAATGGTTCTCTGGGTAATAACAACAACAAACAACAACAACAGTGTTGATATCCTTTACTGTTGCATTTTCTTTTCTTTTTTTTGAGACAGGGTCTCACTTTGTAGTTTGAGGTAGCCTTGAACTCACTATGCAGTCCAGGCTGGCCTCAAACTCATGGCGGTCTGCCTGCCTCAGCCTCTGTAGTACTGGAATTAAGGAGGGTACCACCATGCCTGCCTTGAAGGTTTCCATATGAAGAATATATGGATGTTTAAGTAAAATCACTAGAAGAGTGAAATTATCCACTGAAACACCAAAACTTCAAAAAATATATATTTTAGGAGGAAAGGGAAAAAACCAGATATACAACTACAAAATTCTTCAGTCTTAATTCCAGAGTCCAAAAGCCTCCGGAAAGCTTTATTCTTCATTAATTAGGCAGCAAACTATGGCTTGAATTGATACAACTGCTATTTATAATCATTATTTATCCCATCTTATGTGAATGTGCTTATTTTTTGCTGCAGAAATGTGAGTTAATGACAGAGTGCTTCTCAAACCAAATCTGGGTTGACATAACAATAGATAGCATGTTCATTCTGTTGCATGTGTGGGCCATGGCAGTGACAGCCAGAAGGCAGAGTAATATGGAGTTATTCCAGAGAGCTATACTTGCAGAATGAAGAGGCTAGCTAGATGTCTGGCTGGAAGTGAGAAGAGTGTCTGCCAAGGAAAGCCCTTCGGTCGGACTCCAAGTGGTCAAAAATAAAGCTAAATTCTAGGCCAAGTGTGCTTTTTTTTTTTTCTTCATTATCTGAAAAATGCATTTTCTTTTTTTTCCTACTACATGTTTCCACTACATAATGTTTACATTTATCACAGGGGACTTGGACATGTATATAAAACATCTTAATTCTTTTTTTTTTGTTCCCACTGCAGGTCTTTTTCCCTTCCGCATTTGTAAAAGCTCTATTTCATTTTTTTCTTCACCTTTTTTTTTTTAAATCTCTTTTCCTTTCCTTCCCTCCTTCCTTTTTTTTTTTTTTTTCTGATGCTGGGGATTGAACTCAGGATGGAACATTCTTGATATGAACCATAGAACTTCATTCAGGACAATAAAAACAGTAAATTGCTGTATAGACCTTTTTTGTTTGTTTTTTACTTCCTGGTTCCAGATTCTCAACTAGGTGCCAAGTAATGAAACTCTTGGGTAGTGCCTTTAGATGAGTATGGTAGGAGCTACAGAAGACTAAAGCTTTTCTTATTTTAAAATCTGCCACTGAGGCAGATATGGTAGTGCTACACACCTGTGATCTATCCAGAACTCTGGGAGCTGAACATAGGAAGATCTCAACTTTGAGCCCAGCCTGGGCAATTTAGTGACTTAGTGAGACCCTGTCTCAAAATAAAAAATAAGGGCTAGGAATATCGCTTAGTGTGTGTGTGGTGGTGGTGGTGGTGAGGTGCCTCTGGCTTTCCTAAATGTCCAGAATGAAATCTCCTTTCCTAGGAAAAGGTGGAAAAGTTTGATATGTGGAATGGAGAGTGAAAAAATTGTCAAGAATAACCAAAGACTAGGGCCGGGGATTTAGCTCAGTGGCACCACGCCTGCCTTGCAAGTGCAAGGTCCTGAGTTCGATCCCTAATACTGGGAAAAAAAAAAAAAAAAGAATAGCCAAAGACTAAACTAATACCTTCAATACTTACTGATTTACTGTCCAGGTAGAAAGGTCTCTTTGGAACTAATGTCTCTAGAAGACCTAACACTTAACAGAAAGCCTTGAATTACTGGAGATGTAGGAGGAATAAAGGGATGAGAAAGAACTACAAAGTTACAAGGATTAGATGCTTCAGCAATTGTGGTAGTAACTGTCAGGAATAGCAGTGATTAGAGATTGTATGAACTAAAAGAACATGGACCTTGAAACTAAATATGGTGTTAACTTTCCTCCACTTTAATATCATTTTAGCCTTGGACAAACTTTTTTCTTGTAATTATTATTATTATTTATGTGTGTATATATGTTGGGGATCAAACTCAGGGCCTTGTGAATGCTAGGCAAGCTGTCTACCACTGAGCTACATTCCCAGCCCAAGGACAAATTACTTAATTCATTGTTTTTGTAAAATGACAACCTTAATTAAATCCAGCTTCTGCCATTTTTTTACATCCCTAATAGTAATAGAAAACTTGCTGTTGCAGTACTTTGGAAAAACAAAAAAAGGAAAGCAAACCACTTTTGACCCTTCCTTAACCCCAGCTTCTTAAAATTCTTTGTTCTGTAACCCCTCTA